TTCCATAACCAGACTGTCTGTGACCTCTAGTGGTACACAGTAGAACTACATTATTGACAAGAAATAATCACTAGGTGGCGCCACAGGTGTGAGAATGAACTGTGTCAGGGTGTGAGCTCATAGTCCACAGGGGAATACACACATACCTACACACACAGAAACACACTCTAATTAATGAAGCAGCACATGTGATGAACATACCACCATACCATCAACATACCGCATGCAGCACAGCTCTCTGGGGCCCAGTTTGAAACCAGTACTCTCTTCTTTTAGACCAGTTTCAAACATCAAAGACAAAAGAGATACATGCGCTGTGCTGGAGGATGTTTACACGCTGTCAATATTTCAGTCCAAAGGTCAAAGATCAGACGTTTTGTCTCTGCTTCTCCGGGATGTCTGTGTCAACAGCCCGCTGGTCTGTGTGAGTCCTCATCTGTATAGGTACACAACACCTGAGCAGCCGTCTGTGATTGTCTTAATCTGTTTAATTGTTATACATCAAGAAGGAGAACAACAAAATCACACGTAAAGAGCCAGTTTCTGCATAATTTGTCACAAAGTTTCAAGTGAAACTACGGTGAGCTGATTAAAACAACTATGTGGAGTGGAAATTAAGGATCAGTGGAAACTTGCGACACCTGATGTTGGGTCAACTATGTTTAGTGTGTGTGGGGGGGGGGTGTGTGTGTGTGTGTGTGTGGGTGAGAATGTGGTGTGACTGTGCTTGTCAAGCTGATCATCCAGGTGACGTGTCACTAGACCACAATCACCTGGGTGTGTCTGTGCCCTCGCTGGTGGCTGCAACTCTAATTTCCTTCTCCTGTTACTTCCTTCACTCTTACTGCGCCCACAGAAAACCACAGGGCATGTTTTAATGCTGTTGTTTTTGAAAAAGCTGCCTTTGTATTGATTTTGTTAGCTGTTTTGATTGCTGTCAGGAAAAATCTCAGATAAAATTGTCCACTGTTTAGACATCTACAACAAAAGCCTTGAGTGGTTTATTCAGCTGAGCTTACATCACAGTATGACCAATGAGCATTAAATGTCCGCTTGTTGATTCAGGAATCATTTTAATACCTTGTAATTAACCCAGATTGTCGTGCCATTGGTTTCTAGGACAAAACCTGAAATTCTTCGCAGGTTAATCTGGTTTATCTGTCTGAGTTTGACAGTGTGTCATGTCTGAAGAAACTGTGACAGGCAGACAGTAAGACTGACTGGAGGAAGTAAATAAAAGGGCTGATTGATATGTGAGTGTGGTGTGCATGTGTGTGTGACAGCAGAGGCGCGTGGCTTTTCTGGCGTCAAACCGGTCTGGGAGGAGGCAAGAGGAGCTGCTTGTTTGCGTGAACCAGCAACAGTGTCTGTTTGTTTAGGGGAAGAAAAGTGCAGAGTGACACACTTCCCTTTGTCAGTTCAATTGACAGGCTTTCCATAATGGTGACATCCACAAAAGTATCTCAGAGTGGAAACAACATTATGAGCCTGCTCAAGGATTGTTTGTTAGCTATACAATGGTTGCACACACAATAACAGTGTACTCTGAACGTCAGCAGTGTTTCCATTAAATCTGCAGACTGAATGGATGCAACATTTGGTTTTCTTTTACTTGTTTATCCATTTTTTGGGGGGTTGGGTGGGGGGGATGTGGGACCACACTTAGAGACGACTCTGTGTCACACTTGTCCTAGCAGAATCAGCTGTACTGTCCTCGAGATCCTTTTAACACATCCTAGCTGTTAAAACTCTTATACCACATCTGTCTGTGTGACATGTCCAACATCACAGGGGCTGCAAAGATTCAGGCAGTGGATGGACAGTCAGGCAATGTCAGGTGGAGGGTTGATGGGTGAAGAGGAGAAAAAAGAAACCTTTAGACCTCAAACATGAGACATCAAATTTTAAGTGTTTCTCATTTCTATGGTATTTTGTTTACAGCAGTGAGTGTTACACAATAGTTGGATAGTCATGTAAAAGCTATTTGTCTTTTCTGAAGTTTTAATGAGTCACTGACTTTGCTTTCTGATCTCTTCCATATGACATTTTCCACTCGTGGTGATTGCGATTTACGTATTTGGACTCACACTTTTTAGTGTGTGGCTTCATATTCTTGCTTGTTAAAGCCTCTATGACAAACACAAAAGCACTGCTGCACACATCTAAATGAGAATTTTGAGCAACGAATAAACACAAAGAGCAAGGATAATAGAGCCAGCAGGAACAAAAAGGGAGAACAAGAGTGGGAACTATCAGCCACACCACTATGAATCCTACACCTCGCTTCACTTTCTACTCTGTCTCATTGAAGGTTACCTTGATATATGATCGATGTCTGCAAGAAAAAAATCTATTTTTTATTATCGTCTGTCACCGAGAGCCCTTTCATCTGTCTCTCCTGGGATGATATTTATCTACGCGTGGCTTCACAAGGAAGAAAAAATTGAAATCACTTCTTTTTTTTGTTGGATGTAAATCTAGTCCAGGAATAGAACAAATGTTTTAAAGTTTATTTCTGTGAGACAGAATATAAATAGCACAGGCAGATCAATCGCAGTCAGTGTTTGAACACAGAAATGCAGTTATATAGAGAATAATATAGAGGGATTAAAGTTATAGTGTCTAGTACTAAGTTAAGTTTTCCTTTACAAAGTCAGTTTTCAGCGTATACAGCAGTGTTAACTTTAATTCATTTCCTCTTGAATCCTTCACACTGAACTTTAAGGCCTCCGCACACCAACCCGATTATCGGCCGTCGGACGTCGTCGGACAGTCAGGCGAGGTCGGTGGCTCGAGTCGGTTCGGTGTGTCCCGTGCCGCTCGATCACGTTCGCTGCAGTCGGCGTCACGCCGTCGGCGCGTCCGGCTTCTCGGCGCCCATTGTTCCGCGCCGATGTCGACATGTGACGAATCGGCACCAGTTGCGCTCGGACCTCAATGACCCAGAAGTGCTGATTGGTGGAGTGCATTTAGCCCCTTGACTAGCGAATCAGTGAGATGCACTGAGAAAACCGGAAGTGACGATGGTCAAACACACGCCCAGTTATCTTTGTCTATGCTATTACCATCTGTATGTTTCCGTCTTCAGCCGACGTAAACTGAACAAATAACGATCCTTGTTGACGGCTACCATGATCAACACTACTGTGATGAAAACTACATCGAATGACGGACCAGCCGCTGCTCCTGTGTTCTTACTAGGTCTTACCGAATGATTCTGCAACTTCTTTCCGGTTGCTCTCATTGTTTCTGCTGCGATTGAGAAACACCCCGAGTAGGCGGGCCGCCCCGGCCTGCTGTTACCCTGGGGGCAAAGCTATTACGACCCTCGCCATGCGCAGCCAACGTATACGCCTCCAGTTCGTCGGTCTGTTGGTTTTGTTCTCGGCGGGCTTTTCATTTTGAACCCGCACCTCGGAACGGGCACACGGGAGCCGACTGATCAGTCCGACTGCTTTTCTGCCGACGGTCGGCCGTCGGGTTGGTGTGCAGAGGCCTTTAACTGTTATTTTTGTAGTCTATACTTTATGTAGTGTAGTAGCCTACATTATTTTTTAGACGGTTTCAGTATCTTGGAGTGACAAGACTATGTTTTATTGTATGCAAGTAGGTTATAATGATACATTTGTATTGAACTGAAATAAATTGAACCAAAATGAGCTCATGGGAGTTTTTGCCCAAAGTTTAACATCTCATGCAGACCTTTAGAGCTATCTCACTTCCCTCACCTTATCCCAACCAAGGGGCAAAAAAATAAATAAACTAGCCTAAATCCCTTTTCCACCAAAATGTCCCAATTCTATAACGGTAGTTCCTAACTATTTTGGCTTGTGCAGAACGAAATCCTCTTGTCACAGGTTGTCTACTACTTTTAGATATATTCATGCACAAAAAAGACAATGACAATGCCAAATTGCTAATGCTAATTCATCCTGAGGAACACACAAGTAGCCTAGATTTTAAGGAGATAAATCCAATAGTCGCTGAGATATCTCACATAAAATAACAAATGTGGACCTCGTGGTGGAACTAGAAGAAAAGTCACCATCATGATTCATCCTCTGGAAAACATAAATCATCAACACCTACACTGCACCTACACTGTCACAATCATCATCAAATCATGCAAAATAAGGCAGTAATGTTGTGTAATGTGGTTGATTTAGATGGTGCAGATATTGGCCCACATCTCATCAAAGCAGCAGCATCTTATTTAATCTCAGTGCATGAAACAAAAATATCCCAAACTGCCACTCAAGCAGCAGAGCAAGCTCTTCGAGTTGACCCTGATTAAACCGAGGCAGCATTACGTAAATAACACAGCAACCATGACAGTTTGTTAATCACATGTCAAGCTGCACGCACGGCAGGTACCTGGCACCTCAAATCAAATCGCCCTTTGGCTGCGTTCGTCTCTGTGTGCATGACACGGCTGTCCTATTTATGGCTGTTTTGTTGTGCTGCCAGTAATGTATTATAACAACAGAGTTTTTGTCTGAAAGCTGGGTGTTGCCCTCTCACCCAGGAACATGAGAAAAGGTCATATGGATGATGTTAAAAATATGTGTTGTATATTCACTGTGGCATTTCTGAAAGATCAGTTCAAATGGCTCAGATTGAAAGTAAGAACGGCTGCTCTTTCCTAAAAGCTGCATCAGTTGAGGTGAAGCTTTCTCTTAAAATACCTTCACAGGACACTGGACATGTACTGTATGTGTGGGTTTTGTCAACTTCTCTGTCCCTAGACACTCCTATCCGTCAGCCTCCCAGGAACATTTTCCGTACCACTGTGTGCTGTGCTGTAGGAACTCAGGCCTGCTTCCAGAAACAATGCAGACGCCTCCTGACACCTCCTGCGCTCTGCCTCCTCTTAGATACAACACCCCAGTTTCTTCTACCTGTCTTTGTGAAATGTGAGAGGCAAACTGTAAATAGACACAAGCAATGATGAGGAGAGGAAGAGGTTGAAGTACAAAGTTTTATTTGAACTCATTATGACTGAAATGTGAAGGAACCCGCTGCCCTGTTATTGTGTTAGTTTAGTAAAATAATTTGATTTGCTGTGTGCACAAGCTTGGTGTAACATGCAAATAGAAATCAAAACTAATATGTGGAAATTACAGTGATGGAAAAGCTGAATGATCCCTAATAAACAGGTTATTGGGAGTGGTAATTGGTGTAATTCTCCTCCCATTAGTAGGCTAATAATATTAAAGTGTGTGTTGCTGGTACAGCCTCTGCATGCTTTTGGCTACCGTGCTCACACTTTGTGCAACACAGGCAACTTGTAACCCTCCTATTTGTCAGGATGGTGTCTCACAAGTAGCACTTGAACAGCAACATTAACAATAACTTCCAAAACACAATGTACAAAATTACAAAATAAATACGCTTCTTTTTTAAAATCTTTTTCTTCTGGTTTTACAGTAAAATAGGCTCACAAAGCATTTTTTTTAAACATCAACCGTGGCACTTTTCATTAAAATAGGATGTTGTTGTTTCCTTGACTTAAAGAAAAAAAAAACAACAGTGTTGAAAAATAATTCATGCAGCAAGTGTGAGAAAAAGGTCATTATACATTGAGTTTGGTCTAACAAGTTTGCATCATACAGAGGCAAGGACGCTCTCTGCACACAAAGAGTCACAGTCTGAAGAACAAACATTGCTCTGTGAGACAGTGCAGACAACAATTTTCATTCCAGTTATGGGGAAGCAGAGCTGTAGGTGCAGACACTCTCTCGCTGTTAATCAGCCTCTCTTTCTCTTCTGGCTCTGCCGTCCACTAATGATGGCGAGTTTCATTTCACTGCTCATTAAAAGAACGTCTTTGCAGCCGGTGCCATCTCCTGCCATCTGACGCTGGTTGGGAGATAGTATCCCCGGGAATTAAATTAAGAGAAATTCAAACTGACCTGTGCTCATCAGACCTGCAAAACGAGAGAGACAGAGAGACAGAGGGGAAGAAATATTCAGGTATACAGTAGGTGCCAGCAATGTGTCTCCATTGTAGCTTCACTTATGGGTGTTTTTTTTTTTTTAAAGGCAATTACAGTGTCGGACCTGACTATATGTGGCCTGGGCTTTTTCAAACACAGCTCAAGGTATTTACATATTAGCAACACAGATTTTAAGAGTTTCTGCAGGCGTATGGAATGAAATCTTGACTAATACAACCCCATGTGCTCACATTGTCTTTGAAATGTGGTCAAAAGGCTTTAATTAAGTATTTTAATGTGCAAAGTGTGCAGCTACGTCCTTCTCCTTTCATGCCTTTGATCAGTGACACTGACTGGAAAGCTTAGCTCTTCAAATGAGCCACAGCGGCACGTGCGGCATCACACACCCCGACATCGCAGGCTTGTTAGATTCGATCAAATGTGCCGTTGCGCCACAGGATCATCTACGGAGGTGTGTGAATTTGCTCGGCTTTATGTGCACATAAGCATATGGTGTATACTTGACAGGTTCTATTTTCACATACAGAAATAAAATACAAATCCACAGTCTGAGCCTGTGGGTATGAGAAAATAATTGGGAAGCTTCAGAGTGCTTCATACTGTATATCTCTGAGGAGATCTCTGACTCTTCTCTCCCTCATTCTGCAGTAAGGTCAGACTTGTCATAAGATGTGTGTTTAATTGACACTGCCCTCTGACAGGGAGATGCAGCAAGAAGACGCTGATGAGGAAAATAAACAGCATGATATTGAATGATAATGACCAAACTAGATAAAGCTGTGATAACATTTTATCTGGGTTTTCTTTGTACATATAAAACTGCTAAAGAAATAAGGGCTCAGGAATGTGAAGCATGATGCTCCTGTCACCCTGCTTCCTAGCAATGATTGTGTTGATTTTACCATCTTCCATGGCTAGGCTCCTCTCACAAATAAAATATGCTGTCAGATTGTAACTTTGTTTGAAATGATACACTCGGGTGAATCAGTCTGTGGCAGATGTTTTCATTTGGGCATCTCTGAACCGAAACTATTACACAAATTATAAACAGCCCAGCAGGTCTGATCAACAAACTGTTATCATGCAAATGGATTTAAATCCAGTAAACTGTAAGATAACATTGTGCTCTCAGCGTTCCGTATGCATCCAGTCTTTAAAACACGGGTGCACTGACCACACAATCTAATTCCATGATCTATTCCTTTAAGTGCTTGTTTGGCAGAGTGCCTGTGCAGGAGATGTGTTGGTAAGATACAACAATGATTTACCTCGGATGCTTTCGGTGAACGCTGTGCCCCACAGTCTGTCATTCCGTGTTATAGTCTCATGCAGGGTGGATTCAGGCTCAGCTGAGACACAGTCAATGTTTTCCTTCTAATCCACTTGTGTCAATCAAGGTCCAGCAGACACAGCTGCAGCTTCCACTGCTGCAGCTCTTCAAACTGAGAAACGGCCAATCAAAAAGGTCCTCTGGCCCGCTGCGCCATGACAGGTTGCAGAGTCAAATTCCACAAAAACGTCCTTTAACTTTCCCCGAAGCGCTTTAAAACTTGTCATTTTAAAGTGCATTCAATTCAATAATACTGTCATATAATTGTCTACAACACTTGGTGAAATAACCACTATTTAATATTTCATCCATCATGTAAAGGTTAAACAACACTATTTTATTGTTTATTCTTCAGTATCTTGTGAATGTTATTTATATAATGTGGACCCATTTCTGTTTAATGGCCAACATAAGGCTTCACATAACAAGGCAAGTTTTAATCACTTATGATTGTGAGCCTCAGCTGCAACTGTAAAATAGGTCTCTAAGTACAGTGATGCTTATTTGTTTTTGCAAATATTTTAATAATAATTAAAAGTTTACCTCTATATTATGTAGTTACAAAACAAATTGTTAATTGCTGTGATTATTGATTTGATTTCTTAGTTATTTTAACGCCACATATACATGGTAGTTTCACTTTTTAATATTGTCATTCATTACGTCATTAATGAATCATACAAAATCTTCAATTACTCCAAATTATGGTTAACAATAATATTAAATAATGATTAGTTCACCATTTCTTAATGATGGCTGGTGTAAAGTGTTATGTGCTGTCATGAGTTAATGTATATTATTTTGTATTGGTTATTGCAATTGGTTAAGTCAGAATTAAAAGTGCAAACACTGCACACCAAATTCCCTCGCTCACGTCCACCTCCCTCAATATTTATAATATGTGAATGTCATGTTTTAAAAATGCATAGGCCATCTGTGCACTTATCATTGCAAACAAACTTTGGCTAGCTGCCCTCCAGTTGAAATCGAGCCAAATATGGCCGCCACACAGCAGAAGCCTTCACATGTATTTATATTCCCATGGGGCTCGGCTCCTCATTGGAGTCTGTGTGTCCCGCTTTGTGGAACAGAGATCTTTCTGCGGCCGAGATCTCAGCCCTGATACTCGGATCAGACTACAGACTGACTGCGCACGTCCTTCTGGGCAGTATTGAGGTGAGGTAGATTACACAGTCTCTTTCACTGCCATTTCTCATTCTCACTTGTTATTTGTTTGGGAAATTTGGGAATTAATCAAAGGTTCAAAGAGCAGGAATGTTTCAGGATGGACTTGTAAATAAAATCCAAAGTAAATCATGTAGATAAGACTCTTTCATTGCTTTAGTCCTCAACAATAATGAGTCATATGACAGGCACTTCAGCACCAGGTATGAACACAGCAGTCCTCCCACCACAGGGGGAGCATCTACATCTTTTTAAACAGAGCTCTCGTCCGGCCTGGGCAGCAGCTGAGTGTGTTTCCTCTTCTCTAAGATTCTGTTGAGCTCCTCGGCGAAGGAGTAGCAACTCGGTGAAGTGTTTTCAGAGTCGCTCTGCCTCAGCAGCACGTAGCTGTTGCCATTCATCCTCCTCAGGACGCTGGGCAGCGTGGCCGAGAGCCCGTTGGGGAAGTCACACTCAGGGGAGGGATGTTGGGGAGTTGGTGGGAGAGGAGGGGCCGGGGGAGGAGGCTCCTTATTAGGTGATGGGTAAGCCTCACCGGGGACGATCTGGAGGAAGCCCCCGTCCTGGATGCCGCCGTTACGCTGCTTTGAAACTCCATTACAAACGCCGTTGCCGTTACAGTGGCTGGAGATTGTCTTCAGCTCCATCTGGGAGGAGTTTCTGTGCTGTTTTCTGTTCTTGTTGTGCCTCTTACTGTGCGGGTGGGCAGCAGCTGCGGCCCGCAACGAGTACTTCCCTCTGTGGCCCACTCGCAGGCAGTAGCCCACATAGACAAGGACCACGGTGAGGACCACACACAGGCCTCCGAGGATGGTGATGAGGGACAGGTACATGGCCTCCATGTTCCTGGGGGAGAGCAGCTCTGAGTGGGGGAGGACGGGGGCTGGGGGTGGCGGCAGAGGCCTCTCGGAGGACGGATGCTCAGTGGGTGGCAGGGTGTAAAAGTCTTCAGTTGGCTCAACAGGTGGGGGAGGAGGCAGGTCCAGACCGATGGTGATGTTGTAGGTAATGATGGCGACCTTGATACTGTTCTCAACCGCGTAGCAGGTGTACAGCCCACTCTGGTCCTGCCGGGCCTCGATGATCAGCAGGCCATCAGTGCCGGTTCTGAAGCCAGAGTTGAGGCCGTAGCCCTGCAGCTCGCTGCCATCTTGAGTCCAGAGAGGCGTCGCCAGATTGGAGCTGAGCTCACACTGCAGCAGCACATCATCCCCCACCCGCACAGCGCGGCTCCGCACAACAATGTCTGAAACACACGTTAACACAGTCAGAAAGTCTACTTTCACATTTAGTTTACAGGAAAAACTTCCAACTTAGCCACTGACTTATTCTGAATGTTAATTGCTTAACAACTACTAAATTTATCAAAGGCTGTCCAAAGTTGTTGAGGCATGAACTCCAATTACATATCTTTTAATTCCCGCCATCATATTACCTTGTACAGAGAGAGAACAACGGGAGAGCAGAAGATGCTACATTTTATCAGATTGAAATAGTGAAGTGAGAGAAGGCATTTGCCTGCCTTGAATATCAAACAGATTTCTCTCCAGAGATGGCAAAAATGTGATTAAAGAAGGGAGGAGAGGATTTTGCCAACGCAGTGTGCATAATCAACTTTCAAAGAGGCCTTCATGCCATCTGATGACAACTATGCATCTTTTAAGTCCTTCCTAACATTCTCTATTTTCAATCTCCCTTTCATCATTCGTTGCAACTTTCTTTCTTTTTAGGCAGCAGCAGCACCTAGCAGCAGATGAGATTTCTGCATACCTTCTTGTGTGTTCTCACATCCCTTCCTGCCATGCTGGATGTCCTGGATTAAAGCGGATCTGTAAAGAACGAGAAACCATAAGCATATTAGTGCAAGGAATAAACACTTATTTGCTGTAACATTAAAAAAGAATATAGTTGGTACATGTACCGAGAGTTATATTTCTGTTATATTTTCTATGTTTCTATTTTTCTTCTCTGTTCTGCTCTATTAATATATCTCATATCAGTTATCACCTCAATAACAACATTTTACTGAGTAAATTAATCTGTCCAGATTAATAAGTAAACTTTCAGTACACAGCTGCATGCCATGTTTACTATCACAGCCAGCATCAAGTTTCTGCCAGCATTGTGATTACGCAACAGTGCATGGAGCTGACACTGTGACAGGGCACTGTGATCCTTGAAGTTGGTCAAATCAAACACACAAAAGGCCACCTGCAGCACTTTAATCACCTGATCCAATCACATACGCCTTACAGCACCCACCTGTCTACATGAGCCATTACGTCCACACACTGGGCTCCGTTCCAGGCGCAGTGAGGGTCCCTGGCGAAGATGCAGTCGTAGCAGGAAGCGTATCTGCGACAGTTAGAGAGTGGAAGCTGCACCACGCCTGACGGAGAGCCCACATACACGCTCATCTGGAGGGGGGAAAGAGGATTTAAATGCTGTAGGACAAAGGTTACTCCTTAAATGTGTGTGAGCATGAGACGGTTGGACCCGCTACCTGTTTTGCAGATATCAGTAGATTGTTAACAGGCTGTGGTTCCTCAAAGACTTGAAGCTCCTCGATAATGTGCAGCTGACCCTCGACTTCTACAGCTTTATGCAACCAGCCTTCATCTGACACATGGAAAGAGGAGAAACATTTGAATTAAAGGACCTGCATGCATTTCTGTGTTTTAGATTGTTTCCTCCTTTTTAGGCAGCCATTTAATTTTATTTCTTTCAGTATTTAACACTTGAAATTAACTTAAGATAGGCAATTAATAGTCACGATAACTAGTGTATTAAAGAAGGGTCAGACATCTAAGATGTAGAGTTCTCTTGCAAAAAACAATCTTTTTCTTACATTTTTCACATTTTTATCTTGTGGGTTGTAGGCAGCTAACACTAAAATCTCCTTGAACACATTCTGGTTTCTGATTTTCATATCATAGTGAAATGAATGAAAAACACGAGCTGCCTAGAAATTAAGATACATGTCTAAAAGTATATGGAACTAGTAATCTGACTCCAGAAAGTCCAGGCCAACTGTTTCCAGTCTTTAAGATAAGCTAAGCGTCTCTAGGCTGTACTGGGGCTTCATATTTAGCGTGCAGACATGAGAGTGGAATCATCTTCTCATTTAACTTTCTGCAAGAAAGTATATTAGCACATTTTCCAAAATGTTGACTATTCCTGTAACAGATTGCACAGTTAATACATGGCATCATTCATACACACCTGTGCCCATGTATAACACATGGTATTTTTGTCCATCTAAGCCTTGGATCATCTGTACAGCCATGTGTGTGTAATCTGTGGTCCTCCTGAACAAAAGGGGGCGTCTGTCTGAAGGTTGAACCTGCTGGGACATCAGAGGATGCCGCCTGACAAAGTCCAGCACATCATCAGGCAGGGAGGTGGAGACGTTTATGCCCCTGGCCCTCAGAGCATCAGTTATACACTGCAGGAAAGAATTCAAAGAGAGCAATGAGAGGAACGATGATGAGCAAGAAACAGTAAAGGTACTATGTGGGCTGCAGAGATAGGAGAGACATTTTTGGCTCATTTGTAATAGTTCTCTGTAAATAGAGACGGTTGGTGTAAGGCAGAGAGGATTTCACGAGGCTTAGCGCAATGGTCTGCAGGGAAAATGAAGGGATCAAAAAGAAAACGCGAGTCTGTGAAAGATTGTGTCTGCGGAAAATGCAACTTTTCACTTGGACAACAATGAATCTGTGTGAGTTCAGCAGCCGGCTTGTGCTGATATGCCGGCGACTCAGCTCTCTCTGCACCTGACTAAGGGAACAACTTCCCTTCTCTCTTTGCCATTTTCAAATGACTGCATCCAACTCCTCTAAGAGGCTTTCACGCTCCCGAGTTAGAACCCTTGACCGTTTCTCCCTCCCGTTTAATAGCAACGTTACAATTAAGTCCTACAAAGTGTTGAAGTGACACTACAGTGGATAATGTCTGCTCCCGCTAATGATGGCACGGCCCTGGCTGCCAAACTAAGCCATTGTCGCCAGGCTGGAGTTAATCGCCACGGAAATGGGTTTCAGTGACATGAGCTAGTTGTGTTTTGAGCCTCATCCTTGAGGCTGCGTCTCAAGCTCCCTATCGTTTTCCCTTCATCTTCTCCACTGCTTCCTCTCTTAACGCACTTTAACTTCAGATCAGTTTTATCTGATCTCTGTTGGGGTTTCATGCTGTGAATCCTTGGAGGCCAAAGAGGAGGGAGACATTTTTTTCTTCTGTGCTTCATCTTATGTTTAAGAGACCTCAGAGGGCAGCAGTGCATGTGTGTGTGCATGTGTGTTTACCGTTCCAGGTCGTGGGTCAGGGATCTTTCCAGTGTATTCCTTCCACTTAGAGCCGGAGTCCTGGTTCTCCATGTAGGGTCCTTGAAATGCCTCTTGGATGTCAGACAGAGAAAACCGACACACCGCAGACGCCTTCACGTTTTTCCTAAAGACAGAAACACACACACAGACACACACACACACACACACAGACACACACACAGTGAGAAAAAGACCAGAGCACAGGCCACGAACAATAACAGCAGTAAACCCAGTGTTGCCATAGGGACAGCAGTAGAAGTACAGTAGATCAGTGACTCTCCTAGCTGAGAAGACAAAGTGTGGAAAGCGCAGGGAATAAGCACTGAAACACTATGAAGCTGATTAGAAGTCATACTGAGAAGAGTAGGAGAGAAAGAGAAAAAAACTACAAAATGGTTTCAGAAAGGTGTATCAGGAGTTGAGTTAAGAGACAGGGAAGGTGGAGCTAAAGAGGAGACAGCCACATCCCACAACAACAAAAATGCTGAAGATCATTTTTTATTAATGCTTTCCCCACCACAAAACATTTTGCTTTGGCTTAAAATCCACTTTTCAGCCGATAAATCCTGGCAGTGAATGAGCCGCACAGAAAAGTGGAAACTAGTTTCTACAAAGGGCCTTTATAGCTGAAACCAAACCCCATTTTTTATACTATTAATAGCTGGAATTTTTTTCTGCAGCCTTGCTCATGTGTGGAAAAACTACTGTGGGGAAACTCAAACTCAAGTGCACCTTGAAATCAGATCGCGGTAGCAATAATTTTTGACCAACGTCTTTACTTAAACAACATGAGTTTGTTTGACTGCACTGTAAACAGATTCACCAGTTGCCCCTCTGTTGTATTTCTGACAAACTACCTGCTCAGTGAGTGTTTGCTCTATTATTAAACCACACTTCCTGTTGCGACATTAATGGCAGGTGTCACCAAATCAACCAGGACTGCAACAACAACAACAACAACAACAAGCCCATCTAAATCTCATTTTTTAATTATTGTTATCTTGGAAAACTGCTGCAAAACTATTTTTTTCACATCGTTTGGATAAAAAAGTTCTCCTCGCTTTGTCTCACCCCTATGTTTCATCTCATCATTTTCTGTCTTTCTGTCTCAGTGTATCGATTCTTGCCTTTCATCTTTGCCTCACTCATTTGCATTTGCATCCTCAAAGTCCCCGTCAGCCAGAAACCTTGACAGACACTCACCACTCCAGGCCAAAGATGCCGTAGAAGAGTGTGTCCTGTGGCGTGCGCCCAGGCATGGCGAACACACTGCGCAGCATGTTGAAGTGGAAGTCGTACTCGGGCAGAGAACATGTCAGCCTGGCCTTGAGGAAGGACGTCCACCGTTTCTGAAGAGTTAACCGGCCTCCCCTGTCTCCCTGAGGTGAGAAAGATGGAGGAAAAAGGAGAAACAGAGCAGGAGGAGGGAGTAGAGAGGCTCATATTAGGTAAGGCCTGGATAAATTGCAAAACACTCGGCTCAAGGTGGCACACAAGGGGAAGTGAACCTCCTAAAGAGCGCAACAGATGGCAAGGGAAAGCAATAACAATGCACTGAATAAGGGTATGGCTTCCCATAGGTCCCCATTGTACAGGTTTATGTTTGAGTGTGTGTGTTTTTATCCCTCAGCAGACTGCAGCCCTCCTAAAAGTTGAATATGTCTTGACGGGTTTGATTCAAGGCCACGATTCTTTTGGAAATGCAGCAACTAGCATCATCTTGCCCTTTCATTTTAACTTTTATATGTATTCAGCCAGTGGCAAATTGCAAATGTCACACATTCCGCTGCAAGGCATTTCTATTAAGATGAAAAACAAATATGCTGCAAAGCTTTCAAGGAGAGAACTTTTGAGCTGACTTCATTTTAAGGTGCCACCGGAGAGAACAAGAAGGATATTACACTGTACATTTGGCTCTCACTATTCTTAACCCCTTCCTGGGAGTAACAGGAAAAAGTAAATCATTCACATTTTAGGCAGCAGAGGATGCTAAACAGTCTGTCTCTCCACTGCAGTCATCCATCCCTCTCACACTGATCCACACTGACTCTGCAACCCATTCATCAGCTATAGAGTCTGCTCCTCTAATCACACTGGGACCTTGTTACAAATGCATTCCCCATCCAGCCCCTCATCTATTATATTACCTTCTTTTATCATCAACCAAGACTTCACTCAGTGAGTCTGATGCAAAGCTTCACTCCCAGTTGCAAATCTTATCCCACATTTTTTTTACTCACCTTACAAACCCGAGCCACTCGTGCCACCCTGCTATGGCTGTAGGTTGTCGTCTGCTCCTGGCTCTTCTCAGTGAAGAAGAAATAGATCTTGTCATCATCGCCGGTGCTGCTGCCCAAACTGTCCCTCACCAGCGCAGAGCCCACGAAGTCTGCCTCTGTATGAGGGAGAAAAAGATACTGACTCATACTGCGTTTTTTTCTTCTTGATAAATAAATCAACAAAATCTCTTTCCGCCTTGTGAAGTATTAACTATTGACAATTCTTACATCCATGGAGTCTCTATTTGGTGAAATTATTGCAATTCATCTATGAGGGGATCATAATTGTGTGTACCAAAATGTCATGATAATCCATCAAATTTATTTTAGTCTGGACCAAAGCGTTAGACAGACTGGGACTAAAAACAGAATTGTCCGTGCATGTAAAACTAAGATTTAAAGCTTCAAGAATTAGTGGAGCAATCAGTAGCTGATGTAAGGAAAGTAAAATAATTCATTATTGATCCACTGGTGTGATAAAGAGTCAGTGTTTCAGTTGCTGTGGCTACTTCAGCAGATTAGATGTTTGTTAACATGGAGGCTTATACTTTTTGCAGGTTGAGCTAAGACTTGGCCCACCTTACATGCTAGAGGGCTTTTATCATTCCCGGAGATTAACTCACCATTCAGCCAGCGTGTGGGGGCATCTTCTGTCTTCAGTGTGGGAGACGGAGAGTTGCGGCGGATATCTGGAAAGCTCCTAAACTCATACTGGGTAGCTGTATACATCTGCTGGTCTGGAGGAAAACAAATTATTAGCTTCTTCCGTCTTTAAGCAAAACTCCGGAAATGAGGGACAACTGTCGAAGAGTTTACCGATGATGAGGGCAGTGTAGCCCGTTGTTGGCCCGTAGGGACATTTGTCTTTGCCCTCTTCAGGCCGAGATGACATCACAAACCTCTCCTCCTCCTATACAGGACATTTAGGTAAAGAGGAAGAAACCACGCATGAGTAATCGCAAAAAAATCTTAGAGATAAGAGTAAGAGAGAGTTATACATAAAACATAATGCATGTTTGTATCTACATTTATTCAGTAAATGCAACATGCACAGAACAAAATTCATTTAACAGAACTGGAAGATGTGTTTTGCATTGACATACTATGTATGCACAGAGTGGTCTGAAGGCATGAGTCCCACACATGTAGAAATGAGTCGAATTGAACCTCTGGAGGAAGCGGATGTGATTAAAACACTCCGTCTGGGAAGGGAGGAGAAAGCAGGAAAAGATATTACAGTGAGGGAACAAATATCAATACATAGGCGAGAACTAAATACAAAAAGATGAAAAGAAAGGACTGAGGGAGAAAGAATAACTAAATGCCTACCTTATTGTCTTTTCCCTTGAGCAGACACTGACGTTTTTGGTCGGGGGAGGCCTCCCACTCAATCTAATACACACATAACATACAGTAAGGCAGATAGAGAAGGTTGGATGATTTCATATCACTGACTTTCATACATTTTAAAATACCACAGATCTGACATGAGATATATGGAGTCATTTCTTTTTTGCTTTAATGATTCATATATTAGGGATTTTGCAATCACATCATCTGAATTTAGTGTGAGGCTTGTTCTTTTAAACTCTTCTGTAGCAAAGAAGGTTGACATTGAAACATTTGTATTTACAGCAGCAGACAAGGGAGTGGTTGCGAGGGACTGTCACATACATAACACATAATTACCATAACAGTTTATCAGGTTGTCACTAAGTAACAAACACAGTAGCATGACAGGTGAAAGAGGGTTTTTAGCTTCTATAGGTTCTTAAAGGGAAAAATTACTTTAAAGACATTGTTATGCAACATTCAGTAGTTTGAGGACTAGACTTAATCACAACAACAATGCTAATGATAAAAATTAGATGTCTTCACTATACTTATATACTGAAGAAAATGTGTCTTAGAAATATTGACTGTTCTGCTCTTCTGGATTATGTAATTTGACATAATGCACATGTATGTGTGCATGTTTCCTGCGAATGACGCGTTCTGAAACCAGCGTGGAAACGGCTGACTCCGCCACTGATGAAAAGATAAACTATTTAGAGCAGTAACTAATAAATGTAGATGCATTTAATGGCAATAGCAGAATAGTAAATAGTATCAAAAATTGCATTTGACATGAAGAAAATCCATTTTAACTATAATGTTGATCATAAGAAAAGGGCCAAATATCACATAATAATCACCAACCAAGGTTTATTAATCTATGATATTAATTAGATTCTGAGCCTTAGTTGGGACAATCATCCCAAACTTGTACAGAAAGGACTGTCATACCCACAGTCTTTATTCTAAATACAAAAGATCCCAGGGTTTCCAAAAATACCACAGATGTCAGGTTGAAACACAGAGAAAAGAGTACAAAATGACAAATGAGACATTTATACATTCTGCATTTGGCAGAACTTGTAAGTTTTAACTTCAATAGTACTGGCAACGCTGGGTTAAGGTAGATAGTATGCTAATTAATGCATTAATTAGAAACAATTTCTGTTTCAACATGCTCCAATATGTGGATGATATTAATATGAATTCTGTATCTATTGAGAGTTACAGTGAAAAGATACAATACTTCGTTTTTTTCTCATTAATATGTAAGTTTATGCAGGGGGATGCTCCTGTGGTTTAACTCTGAGTTATTGTGAGTACACACACACACAAGCACACAAGGGGTGACAGGGGAATAAATACTTTTGCCTCAAAATGAAATACTGTTGCCGCAAAAAAGTTCCTGCGTTGTGGAATGCAAATGAAGCCGTGCCGTGGAGTTAAAGATATGGCAGCTGAGGCACACAACATGCAGCAACACCGAAACAAACAAAACTCACAGTGAGAGCAGAGCTGGCTGAGATGTCAGAGGCATTGAGAGCGTACGCAGCCCCCCGGGCCCCGACGTAGAGACGTTCACTGTCAGCCTCCAGTAACATGGTGCTGTAGTTGACTGCAGAGGACTGGAAACGCCTGCAGCCCTGGAGACCAGAGGAGAGGAGAGAGAGGAGAGGAAGAGAGGAGAGAGAGGAGGAGAGGGAGAGGAGAGAGAAGGATTGCGTATGTTAATGAAAGGTCACCTTTTCTAAACATAACATGCACT